TGCACTTCCCGCATGGCAGCTAATTCCTGAGACCCCATTTCACGCGTGCCCTCAGGGATGGTGCACTTCCACATGGCAGCTAATTCCTGAACCCTCACTCCATGCGCGCCCGCTCAAGGATTGTGCACTCCCCGCAAGGTTGCTAACTCCTTGACCCCACATCCCACGCGCACCCGCTCGAGGATCGTGCACTTCCCGCACTCCCAGGCGCTGCTACCAAGCGCTCCAGGACCTCCCAAACGGTGGATATGCGCCACGAGCTTATCAGACGGCCGGCGCAAGCAACCAAGGACACCAAGATGGCCCAAGATGCCTTCGAAGCGGCCCAAGATGGCCCCACGGCGACCGAATATTGGTTCAAGCCGACCCAAGATGCCTCCAAGAGGGCCCAAAATGGCCACAAGAGGACCTCCAGCAAGGGTCAGCAGAAACAAGGGACGACAAGGGAATCACTGATTTCCCTAGGGCGTTTGAAATCATGGTCACATTCTCGCCGTTTCGGGCTGCCGTCAGCTGAAGATGGCCCCAGAGGACTCCACGATGGCCCAAGAGGCATCCAAGACGGCCCCAAGACGTCCAGAGAGGGAATTCCGTGGGACCAAAAACGGCCTCCGAAGGCTCTTCGACGGCCCACACGGCGCGAAGACGGTCCCCAGGCACCCACCGTACGGCAAAGAGGGCCCTAAGGCGGCCCAAGAAAGCCCCAAGTGACCCCCAAGACTGCCTCCTCATCCCCAAGATGGCCCAAACAAGTTTCATCCTCCTCCTCCTCCTCCTCATCATCATCATCATCAGCAGCATCATCATCATCAACAACAGCAGCAGCAACATCAGCATCAGCATCAGCATCAGCATCATCAGCATCATCAGCATCATCAGAATCATCAGCAGCAGCATAATCGTCGTCGTCGAGGTCGTCGTCGTCGTGATCAGCATCATCATCAGCAGCAGCATCATCACTATCGCCATCATGTTCATCATCATCATCATCATCATCATCAGCAGCAGCAGCAGCATCAGCATCATCGTCATCCTCAGCAGCATCATCACACTCTTCTCCTTCATCATCATCATCAGCAGCAGCATCATCAGCAGCAGCAGAATCCTCATAATCATCATATGGTTAATTACGCATCATCATCATCTTCACTCTCATCACCATCATCAGCATCGTCATCACAATCATGGTCAACATCATCGTCAGCATCATCAACAACAACATCATCATCATCATCATCAACATCAGCATCATCATCATCATCAGTATCATCATCATCAGCATCATCATCATAATCATCATCATCATCATGATCATCATCTCCATCATCATCAGCATCATCACTATCAACGGCAGGAGCATTGCCATTGTCATCGTCATAATCGTCACCGTTGTCACCATCATCATCAACAACACCAACACCTCCGCAACCACCGCAGTCACCAAGGTTCACCATCATCAGCATCATCAGCAGCATTACGATCAGCAGCGGCATCATCCTCATCCTAAGCACCATCATCCTCATCATCATATTCATCAGCAGCAGCAGCAACATCAGCAGCATTACTGTCATCATGATCATCAGCACCATCACCATCCTTACCCACATCATCATCCTCATATTGATCATCGTTATCATCATCACCAGCATTGTCGTCATCATCATCAGCATCATCAGCATCATCAGCAACATCATCATCACCATCATCACCATGATAAGCATCACCCTCATCACCGTCATCATCATCACAATCATCATCATCATCATGATCAGCATGATCGTCATCACCAGCATGATCAGCATCGTCATCATCATCAGCATCAGCATCATCATCCTCACTGGCATCATCATCACCATCAGCATCATCAGAATATCATCATCAACATCAACATCCTCATCATCATCATCCTCATCATCAACAACATCATCATCATCATCAGCATCATCATCATCATCATCACCATCATCATCATCATCATCATCATCATCATCATCATCATCATCATCATCATCATCATCATCATCATCATCATCATCATCATCATCATCCTTATCATCATCGTCGTCGTCAACCCCATCATCCTCGTAATCCCCCTCATAATCATCACCGCTTTCCCAAGCCTGAGAGACACGAGGTGTCACACGTGACGGCCTCCTGTGCCCCCTCGAAGAGTCACTACCCAGAATGCTGGGCCTGCACGGTGGCTGGACTTGCCGCCAGCAGCTGGATTATGGCTGACGTCCGAGAAATCGTGCTTTCGCGCGATTTAGGCCTGTCAGGGCGCAACAGTCACGTTGATGCGCGGTGTTGAAGTCCCAGGAACGGTGTTCTGGCACGATCCAGGATCGTCAGGACGCAACAGTAACGTTGATTCGCGGCGCTGAAGTCCCAGGAAGGGTGTCCTGGAACGGTTTCCGACGGGCTACGTCCCTCAGCGACAATAAATTCTCGTGGGGACCTATGAAGGAGGGACTTGGAGGGAGGGTTTATGGCAACATCGTTGATGCGCCTTGGGTTTGCACTGGTTTTTGTTGAGCAGGGACCAACCGTCCTGGCATTCCTAGAACCCTACCACGAAATGTTCGTAGAACCCAAAAATGTTCTAAGAACAAAAGCAATGCTCTTAGAGCATATACCCGATGCGATAAAACAGAACAGACTCCGCCAGAAAATGTTCTTAGAACATTTCGTGAAAACCACAAACGGTTATTAGAACATTGTTTGGTAGGTCTATAGGCGAGCCAGGACGCTTCGCCTCTGCTTGATTTTGGCGTTGCTTGAACAGTGATCGAGTGATCGCTGCGTCTGTGTGGCGTGAGAAAAGTAACCAAGATGGCCGACTTAGGCCTGCAAACGAACGAATTGCGCCTGGCGGGCACGGCAGAGGACGGATGGGCACAAGGGAGAAAGAAAAAGCCAGGGTTTCCACTCCTCCTCCTCCTCCTCCTCCTCCTCCTCCTCCTCCTCCTCCTCCTCCTCCCTCCTCTCCTCCTCCCTCCTCCTCCTCCTCCTCCGCTTCTCCTCTCCTCATCCTCCTCCTCCTCCTCTACCTCCTCTTCCTCCTTCCTCCTCCTCCTCCTCCCCTCCCTCCTCCTCCTCCTCCCCCTCCTCCCCCCCGCTCCTGGATCTCCGCGGTCGGGCCGCAGGCCCCGGGAGGGATCCTGGGCCCGAAAAAGCCGGCTGGAGACAGCCCTCCAGAGGCCACCACAAAAAACTGCCAAGGCTGGCTGGGTTTTTTTGCAATCCTTCGTTCAAGTGAGGGCGGGGGGGCACGATTTGTTGCCCCTCCCGGCGGCAGAAGCAGCAGTCATCCAATACAGGGGTGTTGTTGAGAGATCGCCGCATGCATGCATGTGATTTTGTTTGCCGTATCGCATTGCACGCAGTATTGTGTCGATCATGCACTTGCTGTGTTCGCATGCCGCTGCCATTTTCATTCGAGTCCTGACGAGCCCCAGCAGGGGCGAAACGTTGACACGCGTACTGAAAAGGCACGGGCTTGAGAGCGCCATACGAGTAAGGTGTCTGCGCCTGGCTGCTGCCGCCCGCCGGCTGCTCGTCGTCGAACTCTTCGGCGTCTGGGCGTCCCTCTCTCCTCTCGTCGGCCTCCCGCCCTCCCTCCCTGCACGCCGGCCGATTCGCTAGTCGGTGCCCCTGCCTAGCTGCTACGCTGGTGCGGATTTCGCCTCCTCGCCGCTGACGAAAAAGTGTCGGGCGGGTGGTAATAGGAGGAGGAGGAGGAGCAGGAGGAGGAGGAGGAGGAGGGGGAAGAGGAGGAGGAGGAGGGAGGAGGAGGAGGAGGAGGAGGAGGAGGAGGAGGAGGGGTGACCCAAATGGGGGGTGAAGAAAAAGACCCAGAAGGAGCCCTTTGGGGCCCCTTTGGGGCACCCACTGGCTCCGAACGAGGCCCTAGAGGGCCCCTTTAGGGCCCTCTTCTTCACCCCCCGTCTGGGCCACCCCCCATCACCACCCGCCCGACACGTGCGGACGCCAGGGAATACACCGACACCAAAAGACCTGGGGACTAGAGGCCTCCTAGATGGGGTCGGAGTTGATGGGGTCGGAGGATCGCGCCGCATCGGCGATACATCGGCGATGCATCGGCGATGCATCTGCGATGCATTCACAATGCACTGGCGATGCATCGGCGACGTCGGCGATGCATCGGTGACGTCGACGTGAAGCAACTCGGGCTCCACATTGAGCCGCATCGCCGATGCATCGGCGATGCGGAGCGATCCTCCGACCCCATCTAGGAGGCCTAGAATACCAGCACGAAAGATCTGGGGAGGCTCCCGTCGTCTGCGCTCAGCCTCTCTGGGGTGCCCCGAGGCTTCTGCGGGTCCCTGGAGCCCCGGCGGGACGAGAGATCTCCGCGGGGGGACCTCCCGGCCCCGGACAGGCCTTGTCCAGATTTCTTCCGCGCACGATCCCTGGAAGTCCCGACCCTTCCCCGGGGGCAAGCTTTTCATCCCGAGCCGTTTGTTGATGGACGGTCCTGGCGATCAGTAAGGGCCCCGAAGAACCGAAAACGGTGAAGAACCGGGACAGGACGACTCCTCATCTGGTGTGCCTGCTCTGTCGGCCGCTTTGGCCACTTCTGTCTGCTCCTGGAGGTCGCCGCTTGGCCGCACCTGGCCCTCTGAAGCGGCTGGCGCCCCGCCCGCCTTCGTCCGCGACTTCGTCCGCCTGTTGCTGCTCAGGCTGCCGGCCTGCGGGGCGGCGGCGCCAACGACGGCCACGGCGACGACGCCGACGACGGCGCCGACGACGGCGGCGACGACGGCGACGACTGCGAGGACGACGACCGCGGCGACGGCGGCGACGGCGGCGCTAATCTCTGCCTGCTCCGCGGGGGCGGCCTGCCCCCCAGCCTCCTCCTCCTCCTCCTCCTCCTCCTCCTCCTCCTCCTCCTCCTCCTCCTCCTCCTCCTCCGTAGCCATTTTGGCTCAAGCTGCTCGGGCCGCGGCGGGCGCGCGCCTGCCCGCTTGCTGCGTGGGATGGCAACGGTTGTGCGCGGCTGGGTGACCGCCGAGCTCGCGCCACTGGTGCGCGCGGCTGCGGCAGGCGCGGCGGAAGGGGGCGGCTCCCGCCACCTCGTGGCCGCGGCGGTCGCGGCCGCCATCCGCACCGGTGGAGATGTGCTCGATCCCCAAGCTGCTGACCCGGAGGTGGCGGCCAGAGAGCGAGTCGCCAGGGCTCACTTGGTCGAGAAAGTGACGGCAGGACGCGCTGGCGAGCAGCCGCGCCACTCAGGAAGCAGCAGGGCCTTCAGGAACTGGGCCATGCACAAGGACTTCGGGCAGGGCGTCGAGTCGGTCCCGTCCTCGGCCCAGGAGGCCAAGGGCCGCGCCCGCGGGCCCAGGCGGAAGAAACGCCAAGATCTCGACGACGACCTGCAGCACCAGAACCAGTTCGTGAAAGAGGGCGACCTCAAGTACCTCGACCTCGCGAGCACTGACACGCCCAGCATCGCAGACGAGCAAATCCTCGGCGAGACCAAGTTCGAGGAGAAGTCCAGCGTACGCGAGCTTCTGGCCGAGAAGATCCTAGAGGTGGACGCGCTCCAGCGGCAGTACCAGCAGCACATCGGCCAGAAGGAGTCCGTGATCTCCAACCTCCTGGCTAAGATCGCGGAGCTGGAGCGCACCGTGCAGGACATCAAGCAGCAGGCCATCGGCTCCAAGGTGCCGAAGAACGAGCCCCAGGCCGGTCCCAACGCGAAGGAGAGCGACGCGGCCAGCGCCGCCAAGACGAGGGGCCAGGAGGAGGACGTCGGCGTGCACCCGACGGGCGGCATGAACGCGGAGGGCGCGCTGCGGCAGTCGGTCAACACGTCCATCGTCAGCACGGTCACCAACACGGGCCTCGGAAAGACCATCGCCTCGGAGGAGCTCGATCAGGCCACTGACGTGGTGAAGAAGCTGCACGGCCTCTCCAGCGTGGTCCACGAGGGGCTGAGCGACACTACCTCCGAGAGCAAGCAGACTACTGCCTTCGAGGGCGCGCCCTGCGCCGCCATCCCGACGGGCCTCCAGGAGGACGGGGGCATGTACCTGACGGGCGGCATGAACACGGAGGGCGCGCTGCTGCCGTCGGTCGTCACGTCCAGCGCCACCACGGTCATCAGCACGGGCCTCGGGAAGACGTTCGCCTCGGAGGAGTTCGTTCAGGCCACCGACGTGGTGAAGGCGCCAGGCGACAAGGACCCCGAGGGCGATCGGCAGGACAACTTCGAGGACCTCCACGTGGAGGCGGGCACCGACGGTACGAGCATGGAGGGCGTGCTGTCGCAGTCGATCGCCACGCCCACCAAAGCGGGCCTCGGGAACGTGAAGGACCCCAAGCACGATGGGAAGTTGAGCTCCAAAGCCATCCTCAACTACGACGTCAAACACGAGAATGAGAAGTACCACATCGGCAACTTCGAGAGCAGCTTCGTGAGCCTCTCGGACGTAGCCGTCGACAAAGACATCCCGCCTTGGGAGCGGGAAGAGCCTGAAGACGACCTGCGCACACTGGAGAGCAAGCGGCGCTTCCGTGAGCGGGCGCAGCGCGAGAGGCTCTCGGCGCGGTAGCGCGCGAAGCGTGCCGTGGACCCCTTTGCCCGTGGGGCTGCGCGTGGTGCGAAGATAACCGCGCTTCCCCTGGGGCTGGTCCTGGCGGCGCCGCGTGGCGCAGTGCAAGCACTGTTGAAGAGTAAATGTCCTGGGGAGGGCCTGTCGCAGCGTGCGAGGGATGTCGCCCCCCTCGGCACGGCTGGCAAAATTTTGATGGCCCTCCCCAGGCCCAGCTCATCTCTCGACGGACAACGTCCGATTGCTCCACTCCACTCCTCCTCCTCCTCCTCCTCCTCCTCCTCCTCCTCCTCCTCCTCCTCCTCCTCCTCCTCCTCCTCCTCCTCCTTCCTCCTCCTCCTCCTCCTCCTCCTCCTCCTCCTCCTCCTCCTCCTCCTCCTCCTCCTCCTCCTCCTCCTCCCTCCTCCTCCTCCTCCTCTCCTCCTCCCTCCTCCCTCCTCCCCCTCGAGATGTAACCTACAAGCCATCCAACAGGAAATGTTCGCACGGAGCGTCCCGGAGCGCCCCGAGGAGGCGCCGATGTCGGTCGCCTCTGGGCAGGCTCGTGCTCCGACGGCCACCCCCCGCTGGGCGGCAGCCACCAGCGGCCGCGGCGGGGGCCCTCCTGCGCCCGAGCGGACGCCGAAGCGTGGGCGCCCGGGTGGCAGAGGCGTGCGCTCGCCCTCTGCCACGGGGACGGGCTGGGGTTCACTCCTCCTCCTCCTCCTCCTCCCCTCCTCCTCCTCTCCTCTCCTCCTCCTCCTCCTCCTCCTCCTCCTCCTCCCTCCTCCTCCCTCCTCCCCCTCCTCCTCCTCCTCCTCTCCTCCCTCCTTCCTCCTCCTCCTCCTCCTCCTCCTCCTCCTCCTCCTCCTCCTCCTCCTCCTCCTCTCCTCCTCCTCCTCCTCCCTCCTTCCTTCTCCCTCCCTCCTCCTCCTCCTCCTCCTCTCCTCCTCCTCCTCCTCCTCCTCCTCCCTCCTCCTCCTCTCCTCCTCCTCCTCCTCCTCCTCCTCCCCTCCTCCTCCTCCCTCCTCCTCCTCCTCCTCCCTCCTCCCTCCTCCTCCTCCTCCTCCTCCTCCCTCCTCCTCCTCCTCCTCCTCCTCCTCCTCCTCCTCCCCTCCTCATCCTCCTCCTCCTCCTCCCAACCCCAGGACGGATGAGAGCGACGCGGACGAAGAGTGCGATGACATCGACAGAGCCGATGGCAGTGATGCCGACGTTTGCGCAGGGGCCGACCGCCCCGGCATTCCTATGGGCCTAACACGATATGTGCTTAGAATAAAAGACAGTTCTAAGAACCAAAAACATGTTCTGAGAACAGAAAGCCGGTGTGCTGAAACAAGACAGTCTCAGACAGGAAGGTTCTAAGAAAACATTTCGTGCAAACCACACCAGGCTCTCAGAACATTCTCTTGGTGGCCTTTTTATCGACAAGCCAGGACGCTTCGCCACTGCTCGAGACGTGGACGCTGGGCGAGCTCCCCTTCCTTCCGCCCGAACAACTTGCACACTATACCCAAGAGCCCAGGGGGGGGCGAGCGAGGGTCCTGGTCGTAGGCCTGGCATACTAAGCTCCCTCCCTGGGGCGTGGCTCTTGTGCACCCCGCGAGCGGCCCCAGGCGGTGGACCCCGACCGGGGCGGAGAACGGGTGGTACACCAAGAAATCTCGAGGGTTTCTCCTGCCCCTGGCCACTCGTCTCCCAGGTCGTCGGCGCCGCGCGAGCCTGCGCCCCGTGTGTCTCCGCCCTCCCGCGCGCGCCCGCGGCGCGCGGCGCTCACAGGCGGCGCCCGCGGCGGCCGGCCTTCTTGCGGGTGCAGTCGGTGGGGATGGGGGTCACGTCCTCGGGCGACGAGGTCTGCGGTGGGCTCGTGCCGTGCCAACCCTGGCCTTTGGTTCCTGACACCGCGCCGGATCGCTCCACCTGGAACGATCGCCCGTTCCCGAGACGTTGGATCGCTCAACAGATCGACCGATTCTGGGTCGCCGGCGGCGTTCCACGTGGAAGGCGGGCGGCGGGGTCGCCGCTTGTCGACACGACGCGAACCTGTGCATGTCCACTGCTCCCTGGCCAGGCCCATCACCCTGAACCCTGGAGCTGTGCAGACGCCCTCCTGGCCAAGCCAGGAGCGCGTGGCGTATACTCCGCCTGCTGTGACTACCCACCAGACCCCCCCGACCCAACCCGAAGACCCGAATTTCGGGTTGGGGGGGGGGGTGCGGGTTTCATACGTGTTTTGGAGGGCAAATTGAAGCCTTCGGGTTGGGTTGGGATGGTTTGGTGGGTGGTGATGCTGGGCTCAGGATGGGCCTGGCCAGGGGAGCAGTGCACGTGTCTAGGCTTCGTCGCCCTGCGTCCTCGATGCGGCCGATCTTCATGCCCGACCGCGCCAGCGCCCGCAGGGCGCTCTGCGCACCCGGCCCGGGCGTGCGCGTCCTAGTCCCGCCCGTCGCGCGCAGCTTGATGTGGAGCGCCGTGATGCCCAGCTCCTTGCAGCGGGCGGCCACGTCCTGCGCGGCGAGCATGGCAGCGTACGGGGAGGACTCGTCGCGGTCCGCCTTCACCTTCATGCCCCCCGTGACGCGAATGATCGTCTCGCGGCCCGACAGGTCTGTCACGTGGACGAACGTATCATTGAATGAGGCGTAGATGTGCGCAACGCCGAAGACCTGCTCGCCCTCGCGGACCGTTGGGCCCAGAGTCACCGCCTCCACCTCGGTCCTCTCCTTCTTCGGCCCCATTCGTCCTACACGATGAGCTTGGAAAGCTCCTGGTGCAAAGGCAGGGTTTTCTAACCGAGACAACGCGGCTTGAGCCAAAATGGCTAAATTGCGTCAGGAGTCAGTTTCCTCTTCCTGCGCGGGGGGGGCAAGTGAAAACAATACGATTACTTGAGATGCAGTGGAGAAAAACTATAACTCCTGTCTACACGCGCACTTCTCCCGGACAGCTGTGGCTGCCTCTTCTCGAGGCTCGCAAACTCAGAAGGGGGATTACCAAGCAATCCGGATCTGAAAAGTAGTCAGGAACCGTCATCGCCCTTCGGGCTCCCCCCACCCTTCCTCCAGCCCATCCCCCCGCCATCCCATCCTTCCCGTGCCCCGTTACTGAAGGGCTACCAGACCGACGCGGCCCGACAAGCACGTCCGCAGGGTGGGTCGGCGTGAAACCTGATCGGACAAGAACGGGAAGCGCCGATGTTGTTCATTGGGCTCGCAGGGGGACAAGAAGGAAAGGACGATGGCGACGACAAGGCGGCGGATGTCGAGGATGGCAGCGTGGATGACGGGTAGGGCAGCGAGGGGGGCAGAAGGACAACGAGTAGGAAGACAAGCGCGAGGACGAGGAAGAGATGGATGATGGCGAGTACGAAGAGGAACGGAGCGGAAAAGGAGGAGAAGAGGAAGAAGAACAAGGACGACGACGACGACGACGACGACAAATGACGGCACGGAGCACGACGAAAAGGACGTCGAAGAAGAGAGGGGTCCTCGTGATCCTTTGACGCTACCCTGTGGGCTGTTGAGGCCGTCTGGGGCTATCTTGGGGCCTCCTGGGGGCCTCTTGGGGGCCTGCCGGGGTCCTCTTGGGGGCTACTGGGGTCTTCTTGTGCTACTGAGGTCTTCTTGTGCTGTCTGGGCATGTCTTAGGGTTACATGGGGACTTTATCAGGCCATCTTGGGCCGTCTTGGGGCCCTCGGGCAGTCCCGGGGCCTCTTCGGGCGCTCTTGGGCCTCTGGGCAACTCTTGGGGGCCTCTTGGGGGTCTCTTGAAGCGCTTTACGGATCCCCTGGGCGGCCTTCGAAGGCTCTCTGGGGCCGTTTTGAAGCCATCCGGTGGCGATTCCGAGATCATGCTGGTCCAGAGCCCCTTCCCGAGCCGATGTATTGAGGATGTCCGATGTCCCTAGCGAAACGGCAATTTTTCAGAAACCTTTCCAGACATGAACGGGAAGCGCGCGAAAGGAAGAGTTGCGCAAAAACTTGCAGCATCATCGCGATCAAAATGTGATATAAGCGAGCTCTCCGAACGCTCCCAAGGGATACGTATGGACACGCGCCCCCCGAACGTTCACAAACATATTTCTGATGATCCTCCTCACTCCTCCGCATGAAGACGACGGCGAAGACGACGACCGGGGGAGGAGGGGGAGGAGGAGCAGGCGGAGGAAGAGGGGCAGCAGCAGCAGCAGCAGGAGAAGAGGGTGAGGAGAGGGGGAGGGCGAGGAAGAAGAGGAACAGGAGCAGGAGGAGGGGGAGGAGGACGACGAGGAGGAGGAAGAAGAAGGGGGAAAAATGGGAGTAGAAGGAAGAGGAAGAGGACGAGGGGGAGAAGAACAGTAGGAGGAGGAGGAGGAGGAGGAGGAGAAGGAGAAGGACGAGGAGGAGGAGAAGGATGAGAAGGAGCCCAGATGGTTTCGAGGGCCAGTTTCAAGGCATTGCTTAGGGGATGTCTCGAGCGAAACGCTGATTGTCGAACGACAGTGTTGAAAACCCATTGGTGCTTCAATAATCGCGCCATCCGAGATCGCTCCGAAACGATGCCTTAAGAGAGCTCTTTGCACATCCAATTGTTCGAGGATGTCTCAGGCGAAACGCCCACTTTGGAGGTCCGAAGACTAGGACTGCGATTTGAACATCCCCATTTTCCGAGGATGCCTCAGGCGAAACGCTAATGTTTAGCCTAAGACGTCTCAAAATACGACCACCAAAATCGCGATGTTCTGAGGATGTCTCAGGCGAGACGCCCTGTCTAGGAATCCGGCCAGTCGCGGATCTCGAGTGGACCTCGCGCGTTTCCCCTCTGGGACCTCCCCAGTTGACAAAACAAACAAAAAAAGCTCTGGGCTGCAGACGTCCATCGCGCGACTCTCTGAGTCTAAGCGCGCTTCCCGTCGTCCGACCAGTCGCGAGTTACGGTCCGATCCCACGGTCCGATCCCGAACCAGTTCCCCACCTGGACCCCCCCAGTTGAGAAAAAATCCCTCTGGGCACACAAACGTCCATTGCGCGACTCTCTGAGTCCAAGCGCGCTTCCCGTCATCCGCCCAGTCACGGGCCACGGTCCGATCCCGAACCAGATCCCCCCCTGGAACCCCCCCAGTTGATAAAAGCTTCCACTGGGCACACAGACGTCCATCGCGCGACTCTTCGAAACTAAGCGCGCTTCTGGTCATCCGACCAGTCCCCTGACACCGAGCGATCCCGAACCATTTCCCCGCTGGAATTCCCCAGTTGATGAAAAAAAATCCCTCTGGGCTGCATACGTCCATCGCGCGACTCCCTGAGTCTGAGCGCGCTTCCCGACATCCGATCAGTCACGAATATCGAGTGCATCCCGCGCGTTTTCCCCTCTGGACATCCCCAGTTGATAAAAGATCCCTCTGGGTAATCGACGGCCATCGCGCGACCCTCTGAGTCTAAGCACGCTCTATGACCCCCGAGATCGCGATTTGGCGAGGATGTCTCAGGCGAGACGCCCTTGTTGGGAATCAAACCAGTCCCCAACCTCGGTCCGACCCCACACCATTCTTCGAGGCTGCAGACGTCCATCGCGCGACTCTCTGAGTCTGAGCGCGCTTCCCGTCATCCGCCCAGTCGCGGGCGAAGGTTGCACCCCACGCGTTTCCCCCCCTGGACCTCCCCGGTTGATCAAAAAAATCCCTCTGGGCACACAGACGTCCATCGCGCGACTCTCTGAGTCTAAGCGCACTTCCCGTCATCCGCCCAATCCCGAACATCGAGTACATCCCGCGCGTTTCCCCTCCCGGACCTCCCCAGTTGATGCAAGATCCCTCTGGGCACACAGACGTCCATCCCGCGACTCTCCGAGTCTGAGCGCGCTTCCCGCCATCCGACCATTCACGAACATCAGGTGCATCCCGTGCGCTTCCCCCTCCTGGACCTCCCCAATTGATACAAAATCCCTCTGAATAATCGACGTCCATCGCGCGACTCTCTGACTCTAAGCGCGCTTCCTGTCATCCTCCCAGTCGCGGGCGAAGGTTGCACCCCACGAGTTTCTCCCCCTGGACAACCCCGGTTGATACAAATCACGCTACCTAGGAACCCCACATACTTATACCATGCTTGGAGCGATGAGAGCTGAAGAGGAACATGCCAGACTGATGCTGGTGGCCGTTGCCCCGCCGATCTCGTTGGTGACGCCGGTCAAAGCCTTGGGAGACTGACGCGCCGTGCGAACAACAGCCGGAGCCGTGGCGACCACGGAAGAGAGCGGGGCTGCAGGTAGGCAGGCGGACGGCGCACGAGTCTCGACGCGGTGGGCAGGCGGGCGGCGCACGCCGGGGCAGGACAGGCGAGCCCGAAACGGACAGCGACCGCACCCCCTGCGCTCTCTGTGGCGTCGGGACAGTGCCACGCCTGGCACGCTTTGCGAGCCCGAAACGAATAGCGACCGCACCCCTTGAGGCACCCCCTTGCGGTATCGAGACAGTGTCGCCCCTGCCACGCTTTTCCAGCCCGAAACGGATAGCGACCGCACCCCCGTGACATCCCCTGCAACGTCGATGAATTGCCACGAATGCCACACTTTGCAAGCCCGAAACGGATAGCGACCGCACCCCTTAAGGCACCTCTGTGGCGTCAACAAAGTGCCGAGCCAGCCATGCTTTTCCAGCCCGAAACGGATAGCGACCGCACCACCGTGACACCCCCTGCAACGTCGATAAACTCTCACGCCTGCCACACTTGACGAGCCCGAAACGGATAGCGACCGCACCCCCAGCGCACCCCCTTGCGGTATCGAGGACGTGCCGCGCCTGACACAAATTGCGAGCCCGAAACGGATAGCGACCGCACCCCCTGCACCTTCTGCGACGTCGAGAAAGTGCCACGCCTGCCACGCATTGCGAGCCCGAAACGGATAGCGACTGTACACCCTGCGCCCTCTGTGGCGTCGAGAAAATGTCACGCCTGCCATACTTTGCGAGCCCGAAACGGACAGCGACCGCACACCCTGCGCACCCCCTTGTGGCATCGAGAACGTGTCGCCCTTGCCACGCTTTTCCAGCCCGAAACGGATAGCGACCGCACCCCCGTGACACCCCCCTTCAACGTCGATAAGTTGCCACGCCTGCCACAAATTGCGAGCCCGAAACGGATAGCGACCGCACCCCTTAACACACCCCCTGTGGCGTCAACAAAGTGCCGCGCCAGCCATACTTCGCGAGCCCGAAACGGATAGCGACCGCACCTCCATGACACCCCGTGTCACGCCGACAAGCTCTCACGCCTGCCACACCTGGCGAGCCCGAAACGGATAGCGAGCGCACCCCCAGCGCTCCCCCTTGCGGGATCGAGGAAGTGCCACGCCTGCCATACTTTGCGAGCCCGAAACGGACAGCGACAGCACCCCCTGCGCCTTCTGTTTTCGTCGGGACAGTGCCACGCCTGTCACGCTTTGCGAGCCCGAAACGAATAGCGACCGCACCCTCAACGCACCCCCTTGTGGTATCGAGAAAGTCTCGCCCCTGCCACGCTTTTCCAGCCCGGAACGGATAGCGACCGCACGCCCGTGACACCCCCCTTCAACGTCGATAAATTGCCCCGCCTGCCACACGCTGCGAGCCCGAAACGGATAGCGACCGCACCCCTTAAGGCACCCCCTGTGGCGTCAACAAAGTGCCGCGCCAGCCATGCTTTGCGAACCCGAAACGGATGGCGATGGCACCCCCATGACACCCCCTGTAACACCGACAAGCTCTCACGCCTGCCACACCTGGCGAGCCCGAAACGGATAGCGACCGCACCCCCAGCGCTCCCCCTTGCGGGATCGAGGAAGTGCCACGCCTGCCACAAATTGCG